AGATCCCCAAGTGGCCCCCTCAAGGATTGAACTCACAACCCTGGTTTTAGCAGGCCAGTGCTCAAACCACTGAGCTATCCCTCCTAGTTTTCTCCTAGTTTTTTAAATAATTTAAGAAGTTCTTTATAGGTTAAGATCAGGATTAAACCAATCTCATGGTTTTAACTGATCTGTAACTATTAGGAATTAGGATGAGACCTTAGTGGGAAAGTAGATTCTTCCTTGTCTGCCTGTTGTGGGGTTTCTTGCACCTCTTTTTGAAGCATCTGGTGCTTCTCTGGGGTGGAGACAGGATACAAGCCTAGACAGACCATAACTCTGATCCAGTATGGCAATTCCTATGTTCCTAGAGTTAGCCTTCTCATATTTCAGTTCCTGGCTGATAGCAATACCACAGGAAGACTAGATCTTGCTTTATTTCATTCCCCAAACTCTCTCTGAGGCAGTACCTGACAAGCATGAACATAGAGATGCCAATCATGAAGTATTTGCGATTATGCAAATCCTAACACAGAGATTGTGGAACTGGGCTCAACAACCATCCTTGACCTCCCTGATCTGGACTTGCTAAGAGTGACCCTGAGTGGGGCTGTCAAGGGTAAGAGGGTAGTATGTTCAAGGGTCTGACCACTCAGAGGGCATGCTGATGGTGGTTGTGGCGTAACAGACCAAGTCAGTGAGAATCCATTGGCATGACAAACTACACACGTTGTCACAGGCTAAAACTGACTCAGATCCTTAAGAGACAAGGCGGGCGAGGTAATAACTTTTATTGGACCAACTTCTATGGATGTTAAAAGTGTCTGTCACAGGTAGGTACAAACCACACAGTGTTGAGCAGTAGCGGGTGTCCCCGCTGCCCCCGAGCACCCACCCCCTTGCTCTAGCGCACCCGCCAGTACACCCACCCCGGGCCCACCCGTGCAACCTCCCGCCCCTGCTCCGACCAGCCGCCTCGTTGCCCTGTGTGCGAGAGACTCCCCCAGCCCAGCTCCCCGAGGCCTGGCTGCACCACCGGGACTCTGGCGGTGAGACGTGCCCCGTCCTCGCTCGGGCGCGGCTCCGCTACCACTCGAGGGGGATGAGGGAGTCACCCTGAGCGAGCGCGAGGCGGAGGTCGGTTCTATCTGAGGCGGGGGAGGGGCCGTGGTGCCAGGGCTCCGCGCGTGCGCAGTGTGGGAGCAGGGTGGCGAGGACACCGCTCCCCAACCCCCAACCCTACCGCCGGAACGAGCTAGGAAAACCAAAGCGAGGCTCGGCGTGCAGCGTCCGCGTCACGACGACGGCTTCAAGCCTCGCCCAGGCAGCGGCAACGAGAGAGGGAGCGGGCGTGCGGAGCAGGCTCGGCCGGGGAGGAGGCGACAGGGGGAGCGGCGGCGCCGTCCGGTAGGTGGAGGCGGCGGCTGAGAGGGGAGCGGGGCGGCCGGGCGGGGGCACTCCGGTCCCGGGCGGGGGCTGCGGCAGCGGCGGGTGTCTGGTACAGGTGGCCCCGCGGCAGAGGGGGCCGGGGCGGCGGCCGCGCCGGCGGGAAGAGCGCGCTGTGCGGAAAGGGGGCAAGTGTCTGAATATGGCGGAGCAGGAACCGAGAGCGGCCGCTGCCACCGGCAGCGGGGACACCCCGGGGGGCGCGAGTCTGGGGCTTGGCTGCCACTCGCTCCCCCGCCCCTCGAGCTGGGGGCGCCCGGCCCGGCGCCCGCCTGCCCGCCCCGAAGTTAGAGCGGAAGCGGAAAGTTGTAACCCCACAGCTCTGAGCTGCTCCCCAGCCCGCGCCTGGGCCAGCCGGGGCGGGGGTCAGGGGCCGCTCGGCTCCGGGCGGTGAAGAAAGTTCTCACCCCCGCGTTGTCAGCCCGTTGTGGGAAGTCTGAGTTCAGCCCCACCTAGTCCGGCAGTATCAGCCGCTGGAGAGAAGCTGCTCACAGTTTCCATCACCCTCCCCCGGCGTGGGGCGAGAGTGTCCAGCCCATAGGCCTCGTCCGTTTCACTTGCATTGGACTGAGGCGATCCCCTGCTATAGTGTCGGCCCCCAGAGCACGGGCATCACGGGTAACACGTTGAGCCTGCGCTGGCTCTTACCTCGCTAAACGGTCTCTCTTCATCCCTTCATGCTGGGATGGGTTTGTTGGGGGGGGGGGGTTGCCTTTTTTTTTTTTGCTTTTAAACTTCTGGTTTCTGTGCTATTTATACAGTGCCTCAAATGTGCTGAGCACTTCGGTAGTGGGGGTAGGAAGGCGCAGTCCTGCCCAGAAAGAGCTTGCGATGTAAATAGACAACACTGCAGTCATTTAATGTTCATGAATCTTCTGACCCTTATCTGAATAAAAAAGGAAAAGATACCTGGGGAATTTGTAGGTCTTAAGTCCAGAAGGGGCAATTATGATCATCTAGTCTGAGTTCCTACATAATACTGGCAGAGAAACCTCACCCAATAAGATCTGTATCAAGCCCACAATTTTGAGGTTTAATATATTTTAGAAAGAGATCAATGGTGGCATGACTAAAAGCTGTCAGAATTTATGCCACAGAAGAATAAAATAAGGCTTTGCAGGATGTGATCACTGTACTGTATTCCAAATTGCAACATTTATTGAAATCCTGTTATTCTTTTCCTTTTTTAAAAGGAATGGTTAATAAATGCTACTTAGGAAATATGAATCTTCATTTTGAAAAAAGTTTCTATATTACTTGTGGTATAAATGTGTAACTTTGTGTGGCTCCAAAAAGGAATATTTAGGCAACATCACAAACCATGTATTTTTAATGCAGTTGGGACTCACTCATCTAGATTTTTTGGTAGCGTATTTAATTAAATATAGCAACCAGTTCTTGTATAGTATCAGAGGGGTAGCTGTGTTAGTCTGGATCGGTAAAAAGCAACAAAGAGTCCTGTGACACCTTATAGACTAACAAATGTATTGGGGCATAAGCTTTCGTGGGTGAATACCCACATGTGTCTGACGAAGTGGGTATTCACCCACGAAAACTTATGCTCGAATACATTTGTTAGTCTATGAGGTGCCACAGGACTCCTTGTTGCTTTTTACAGTTCTTGTATAGGAACTCTGAGACTTGTGAGTTCAAGCATATAATAGGAGGGCGTTAAATAGTCAGACAAAGCTAGTGGAATTGATGTTTTCCAAGGCTCTTTCATGGCACGTGTACACACAAATTCCAAGTTATTAAAAAAATCAAACATTTTTCAGTTGGAACTATGCTTCTTGACTGTCCTAATTAGTTTTACCAACATATGTCACGTGTACTGCACAACAACCACTCAAAAGAGACAAAGTTCTTTATACTAGGTCATACTTTGATACTGGAAAGGGGTTTTTCTATTCTTTGATAAACTTAAAATAACTTTAACTAAGCATTAAGAGTTTGTGGCTGTCTTGTACCTTTGTTAGATGGAAAGCTAAGTAAAGGGCTGAATTCAGTGCTTCTAAATGTCTTCACTTATCTTGTTCAGGTTTCTAGTTCCTTATTTCTCCGTCCACTGCCAATAGCCTGCAACATACTGTATCCATCTTTCTGGCTAGAAACAAGCTCACTGACTGCTCAGTGAGGGTTATGTCTACACAGTGCACTTTCCAGTGAGAGTAGACACAATGTGACTGTGGTGGCTTGTGCAGGCTGCCTGAGTACAATCCTGCCTGACCCCCTCAGTATATACTCAATAGTTAGCCTGAGCCGCCGCCACCACCCCTGCTGTCATAGCCACACTACTATTTCAGGCAGATGATGTCTGTCTACCTGTGGTGGGAAGCCACCCTCCCAGTTGCTATGTAGACATACCCTAAAGAAAGAGGCTGGCAGAAGAGTAGTAGACTCTTTCAGCTTTGAGATGGAAAAACTGTTATGCCAAACTGTAGTTAAGTCTTAGAGGTATTTACAAATCTCTGGTCTGCTGTTATATATGATAGTGTCTCTACTTAATCAGTTAAGGCCATTTATCATCTCTAGGTACCTGCCCGTTACATGGACATCTCATCTACTGAAGCCGTGAGATTGCTAGACTACAATTGTTAAGTGCAAGGTTTAAGATTAAGCAAACTTGCTTCTTCAGACTATTGATAAACTGCTGTATACCATCTAAATGTTAAATACTACTTATAACAAAACTCCTCGTGCTTAGAGTGTCCTCCCTACTGAGGATGTAGTAACTCCGAAATAATAATCTTTCACCTGTAGGTTTTTTACCAAGGTAGACTAGAATTAAAGTTAAAGGTACACCAGCTTTTGACTGTCAATTTAAATTAAGTGAGTTGTGTGTCCTAGGCTTATCCTTATGTCTGTCTACCAATTTTCATGGTTTTATATACACCTCTACCCTGTTATAACGCGGTAAAGCAGTGCTCCAGGGGGGCAGGGCTGCGCACTCCGGCGGATCAAAGCAAGTTCGATATCATGCGGTTTCACCTATAACGCGGTAAGATTTTTTTGGGGGGGCTCCCAAGGACAGCGTTATATCGGGGCAGAGGTGTATTTTTACATTGTTTACATGTTCGTTTTCTCCCCTGTGAAAAAGACCCAACAAAAGGGGAAGGTGACTATACAGAGGGTATGGTGAAATTGACTATCACAAATCGCTGTAAAATATACAAAGTAAAGAAACTATGAGGGTAAACAAAACTTTTATTTTAGGTGTGCTAATTTTGTTAGTGCTCCTCTGAGTGGGTGGAGTACTCAATACAGTAGAATCTCCGTTACAAACACCTTGGGAATGGAGGTCGCTTGTAACTCTGAACAAAACATTATGGAGTTTCTTTCAAAGTTTACCACAGAACATTGATTAAATACAGCTTTGAAACTTTACTTGTGTAGAAGAAAATGCTGCCTTTAACCATCTTAATTTAAATGAAACAAGCAGCGAAAACAGTTTCCTTAATTTTGTTAAATCTTTTTACATGTAACAGTACTGTACAGTATTTGATTCTTTGGTCTCTACTGGTTGATTGCATACTTCTGGTTCCAAATGAGGTGTGTGGTTGACCCTCAGAGTTACAAACTTACTGTTCTACTGTACTATTGCAGTATGGGGTATATAATACCCTGGATATAATTTGTGTTATCTTGATTGAAAACCCGACTCTGAGGACAATTCAAAACCAGGAGTAAAACTGAGCCTGTATGAGCTAATTTCTGATTCGTGCTGTGCTGGAGAAAAGGTTGGGACCAAGTAAAACTGACATTTTAGTTTTGATGGAGCTTTGCTAGAGTAGCAGCACAGGTATAAATCTGGGGGAGAGTAGGTCCACAAAATGGAAAATAGAAATTCCTAAGTGGATAGAGAGAGGGAGCAAGTGTACTGGAGTTTAACTAACAGTTTAACACAGTGGTGGGCAACCTGCAGGCCGCATGCGGCCCATCAGGGTAATCTGATTGCGGGCCGCGAGACATTTGGCTGACGTTGATCGTCCGCAGGCAAGGCCCCTCACAGCTCCCAGTAGCCACGGTTCATTGTTCCCGGCCAATGGGAGCTGTGGGAAGCAGCAGGCACTGGTTCAACTTGTTAGGTTGTTTATCTCTAAATACATAATAGTGTACAGTATTGTCTATTTACACACTTGTATAAGCTAAAATGATGTAAACATAATGACAAAATGCTAATTAATCTGCCATTAGTATATTTTGTTGAAGCATGGGCCTTATGAAGTGCTCTGGTGGGCTGCAGGTTGGGCACCCCTGTTGGAGGACTCTCAGTTCACTTTCCACTAAAACTAAATTCATTTGCTCAAACAAAATTGTCACAACTGCTGATGATACTTGCCTCCTTTTTCAAACTTACAATATAGTTATGGTTAAGGCTATGGTTTAGTCACGGGTATCTTTAGTAAAAGTCACAGACGGGCAATGAGCAATAAACAGAAAGGATGGCCAGTGACTTGTCCGTGACTTTTACTAAAAATATCCCTAACTAAATCTTGGGTGGTGGGGGAGGAGGAGCGCTCCAGCAGACGCTGCTGTTGTCGGGGGAGTGTGCGCGCTCCAGCGGTTGCTACTGCTCCTGGGCAGGCGGCTGGGGGCACCGGAGCACCCCAGCTGCTTGAGTGGCCCTAGGGTCAGCTGCACCAGCAGCTGCGGAAGTTAGAGATGCCAGAAAATCACAGAATCCGTGACCTCCGTGAAAGACTCCGCCTTAGCTATGGTAACATCAGAATCTTAAAGTTCAGTGCATGGCTGTGGGCAGTGGCACTTTTCAGTCTGCTTTGGTGTGTATTTTGAAGCAGGAGATGCGTGTCCTGTAATGTTAGATACAGAACCTTGTGTTTGCTCAGCTGTGTTGCATCTTGAAAGAGGAAGGGATGTTTTGGACATACTCTTTCATCCATTAGGAAGAAGAGGATCGGAAGTAACTAACACAACCCTGACGTGCACATACACATACCGGT